AACTATGCCCATACAGCCAAGTCTTCAGTGGAATTTTTTTATTGATATGAAATGAAAATGAAATTTAATGAGATGAAATTAAATGAAAACTAACCTAACTCATTGAATCAAATCATTAAATCTGATACTTAAACAAATTAGCTCCTTTTTTAGAAATATTTGCATGAATCAAAAAAACTTCAACGAATTTTTTTTTAGTAAAAACTTCGTGGTTGGATTTTTCTTTTTAATAGATATTATTTTGACAGTTGGGAAAAAGAACGCACGAGTTCGGAAAAGGTTAAGAAAAATCTCGAGTATGTAATAGCCCACATCCCGAATGCTATACGTCCCTGCAATGCGCCACTTTTTAGCAACTGTATTTAAAAAATTGTTCAACATTATAGAAAATATATTTTAAAGTTGACTCCTTAAAAACCTACAAATAATAAAACCTATACTAATATACTTCCTGACATAATTCAGTTTGTTTCACACCTAAATAGGTTGTGATTATGAACATGAAAAGGGTTTCCCCCTTTTCAGGTTCAGTGTATGTTCACCTTGTATAATGGACATCGAACATAAGCATTAAACATGCACAGCAATCTGGTGGTCATTTTTACGATGTTGCTCGTGTTCTTTTTAATTTGCATTCCTGACATAGATATGGACACTTTTGATTGATCACCTTGACATCGAGGATGTGAAAGTTACATACTAAATTCTATTTAATGTCATTTATATCCCAAATGAGCGTTGTAAAAAATATTATGTATTAACAATTAGATAAACTTTTAAAAATTTAAACAAGGATTAAATACAACTTTTTCGGCAGTCAAACCGGCCAAATGCTTAACTGTTTAAAGAAAACCAATGAAAAGTCTGTAATAAACGACTTTTCACAATTTGATTCCTACTTTTTAGATTATTTAACATAAAGATACACTTTTTCAAAATAGTTTTTTTATGGTTTTTTCTTTTAGATATAAATGATTAGATTTTTACCCGCGGTTTCGCTCGCGTGACCTTGAACTTTAAACCATCAATAACTTATTTGGTACTAAAATTAGATCAATATCTGTGTTGTAAGTATAAGTGTAGTAATATTGACCGTAGTAAAATATTGAAATTTGGCAGTATAATATGCTACATTTTATTTTATTTTTATTTATTTTTACAAAATATAGTTATTAAATAACATCCGACAGTACAAATAAACTTACAAAAGTTTTTCCATGTACCGCCGACTCGTAACTTCGATCATGTTCAATCGTTTCGCGTAGCGACAACTTACATAATACATGGTGTGACAATATTTTGACAATATTTTTTTAACTATATGTGTACCACAGCAAAGGACAGTTAGTGAGTTTGATAAATAATATTAGTAATCGAGATATTAATGTTACGATTGTGTGTATCTATGTATATATTTATTAGTAGATTTGTATTTATGTATATTATGTGTGTTAGTATAGTTTTTTTTTAATATAAATTATTAGTAGGTGTCGTTATCAATTTGTCTACAAAATACTGTTTAAGCTTATATTTAATGTTTTTCAAAGTTAGTTCATTTTTTATTGGTTTTGGAATTTAGTTCAAAAGAGCTGGTACTTGATATTGTAACCTAAATTTTCCATAAATATTTTTATATTTTGGTATAGTCATATATGGATTAAGGGCTTGTCGCGTAAGCTTTGTATAGATACGGCTAATTTTTAATTCTTCCTTGCTACAATTTTCCAGCAGTAGTTGTTATTTCACCTTGTCGTGTACTGGTAGTATATTGCAATGATGAAAGAGACCATAAGGATTTTTTTAATTTATCTTTGATTTTGAGAGGGATGATACATTTAAGAATGTGCAATTGTAGCTCGTATATTTTTTCAAGGTGGGTTTTATGCGTGTGTCCATAACTGCTTAACCCATACGAAACTATTGATTCGCCGAGTGCTTTATATAGTAACATTAGCATGTGGTAAGGTACTTTACTCTTGATGAGGTAAAATTTTGCTAAGATCGCTCGTAGCTTATCACATACAGATTCAATGTGATAAGTCCATTTCATACATAATATCTACATTTTTCTACCACTTCAATCTGGGGACATTCACAATTATTATTATGGGTTGAACTTTGGATATTATGAAGACATGTATGATTATGAGCTATAAGATTAATGTCATGTTTTAATCTATTTTGGCTTGAGCTCACGTACATTATTTAATAAGACTATTATATATTGAATAAGACCTGCATCATGTGACCACTGCATGAGCCTCGTAAAATCCTCCTGTAACAGTTTTACCGCCTTATCCATATTGTAGTGGGCTGCTAACAGACATGTATCGTCAGCAAATTGGAAGATTTTACAGTTGTTAACCACATTGTTGATATTATTCACGTAAGTGATGTAGTGTAGCGGTCCTAATACAGAACCCTGTGCTGTTCCTTCACTCAACAAAACTTTATTACTTAAGGCATACCTTGACATAGTAACAACGATTTGTTGAGATAGTCCTGACACCAGTCAAGAATCGGCCCTCTAATTCCACAGTCATCTAGTCGCTCTAGTAATACATCATGGCATAAAGTATCGAATGCCCTGCTATAGTCGACAAATAACAGCAATACATGTTTTCTCATATTAAGATTTTCATATACGTTATTAGTAAATAGTGAAAGTAGTTGCGTTGTGCTTTTTTTAGGTTGAAACCCAAACTGTGTGTCATTAAGATTGTTATTTAGCCCGTAAAAGTTGTAAATTTGTCTAGCTATGTATTTTTCTATAATCTTATCTATCGTAGGTAATATAGGACGGTAATTATCATAATCCTGTTTGCTTCCCTTTTTGTATATAGGTCTCACGATTCCAGTTTTCAATTCGTCAGGATATTTATTATTCTTTATGCAGACATTTACCAGTTTTTCAATAGCCGGAGCAATTTCTTCGCAAATTCGTTTTATATCTATCGCCCGAATTCTGTCAAGACCCGGAGCTTTGTTAACGTTTATTGTTTTTATAATTTTAAGGATCTCTTTAGGTGTCGCTTTTTGAAAATTCATTGTTACGTTAACTGGTTGTCTGTATTCTATTTTATCTAAAATATTATTTTTACATAAAGGTATTATGTTTCGAACGCCACTATGAATTTTTTTCGCAAAGTTATTAGCAATTATATTTTTATTTTTGTTTGTGCCCCAAACGCATTTAAGAGTACTGTATCCATTGTCTTACGCACCCTACCTGTTATTCTGTTAAGAATAAACCAGAGTTGATTTAAATTATCTTTATATTTATGATTTTCATTATAAATGTATTTATTTTTGCAGAATCTAATTAATTTATTTGCATAGTTTCGCGCTTTATTATATTGTGTTTTTAAATTTTTATTATTATTATCTTTTATCCATTGGTAAAATAGTTTATCTCTATACTCGCAAACTTTGATAATACGTGAAGTTATCCATTTATTTTCGGTATGTTTGTTACTGGTGTTTTTAATTTTTGATTTGCATTTATTTATAAATATATACTATAATATAGTATCTGGACAGAACATATCATCAACTTTCTTCCAGTTATTCAATGAAAGTTTTAATTTTTCATTGTTATATATATATAAAAAAATATATATATATATATATATATATATATATATATATATATATATAATTTATAAGTAGTTTCAACCTGTATACGCGCATGTGTTTGTTCCACACAGGCAAGCACTACCACTCGGTGGTCCGCTAGCATTACACCAAGCGCCGCGGTGTAAACATCTTGTTTGCGTGATCTCGCGTACACATGATCAATACTTGATTTAGTTATTCTGTCGTCAATTAATTCAATTCTAGTGTACTGCGATATCCCGCACACAAGGCCGTAGTTATGTAGCATGCAGTTGTATTTATGTCTTATAGGAGTATATGTTTGCAAGTCTATATTCATATCTCCAAGGATAAATAGTTCAGAATTTATGACCACCCTACCGATCAAAGTGCGAAGTTCGTCGATGAATAAGGCTAGGGAGGGCGATAAATTACACATACAGTTGCCGTGTAAAAAGATGGAGTGCAAATTTGAAATAATATATGTTCAAAATGTTTTGTTAATAAGTTACTAATTATTGTAAATTTATTCTTCTTGTGTATATATGCTATTATACCGCCACCCCTTCGGTTTTTACGCAGCACTGTATGCATGTTATAGTCCGGTAGGTTAAACATATCGCTTAGGTAGTCAGATATATTAGCTTCCGTTACCAATATAATATCTATACATGCGTTAGATGAGTACACACATTGTTCTAAAGCATCAAAGTTTTTAATCAAGGACCTTATATTTATGTGCATGCATAAAAGGTTAGTTTGATAATTTTTAACAGGAATATGATTTAAAAATGAATTTATGTTAGTACAAATTTACTCAATTCACAAAATTCTAACTGTAAGTCCGAATTAAAAAAATAAAGAACAAAAAATTTTTATATATTTACGTTTGAAATTAAGTACCTATATACAATAATTTATTGCGGCTGTACATGGACTTCCTTTTGTTGTAAGGCTTTAATGTCATCATCAGATCTAATTATGAACGATTGATCTTTTTCACCTTTTCTTGCTCTAATAACTCCATTCTTGCACCACACATATTTGTATACTCCGCTGTTTTTAAGTTCTCTTCTGGCATTTCCAAGTAAGGTCTTATTGTATATGGTTAATGCCTCACTTATGTAGATGGTTTCTTTACCAGTCAACGATGATGCGTTAGGTAAGATATCGTTCACCATGACATTTGTATCCTTTGCTTTTGTAAGCCATTTTGTTTTAACAGTTTCTGACTGTAGATCCACACGTAGTTTTCCGGAATTATTTCTATTGTAACCAAAGCGCTTTACTTCTATAATGTTTTCTTCTAATTCAACTTTTTGTTGTATTTTTTGCACGACGTTTAAAAGATCTTCGTTGTCAACGAATGGTATATTAAAAATATCAATAGTTTTAATAAGCTGTTGCTATTCTTGTTCTTGTAAACGCTGTTCTAATGCACTTATTCTATATTCTAAGTTTTTGTTTTGGTTAGATAATTCGATATTTTTCTTTTTTATTTCTTTGACTGTAGTTTTAAATGCGTCTACGGTTTTGAGTATATCATCAAGTTTTCTAGAATTGAATTCCATAGACTCTGCAAACTGGCTCAATTGACGTTGAATAGCACACTCCACTTTTGTTGATATTTCTAGCAGCAAATTTTTACCATCTAATGGAACAGATGCTGAGGTTATAGGCGATCCAAATGCTCCATCATCATCATCTTCAGGTATCACAATCGAAGTTCGTCTATATGAAGTGTTTTTGCATTCAGAGCACGACCAATCTAGGTTTTCATTTGCCCGAAGCGCATTCCTCTGTTTGGTGGTACACCCTGAGCATTCTGTTTTCGGATGCACCATCTTCTCACAACGATGACACACCACACCAAGACGAGCCTTTGTAATATTTTTGTTGCATTTTTCACACTTCGACATAATGCTGTTAGACACAAAATTATTTGCCGCAACCAAACATCCGATCGACATGAGCGAGCGAGGCCGAATAAGCGAGCGAGGCCGAATGTACAGAAACACAAAAGTGAGTTTATCAGAATTGCATTTATATCATACGTCTTGCAACACCTTTTTATATTGGGCACGTCTTCCGAAGTGTCTATGGAGGGAAAATTTCCCTGGAATCAGATATGCGTTTTTTACATAATATTCATAATTAAAGCGGATATAGTTTTGACAAAATAATGCTGAATTTCGTGGTCTTTATTAATATTAGGCCCATTGAATATGACTCGCCCCGTAAAATACATGCCAGTATTTTTTACGTTATAGTAGACATCAAAATTTCATAAATGTAGTTCTATTCATCGCGAACGTGTGAAAAGAACAGTATTCATGAACGGGAGTAGAAATATACAGAAGACGGGCAGCAGTGTCTTCCTGATCATAGGTCAAAATAATAAAAATATGCAGTTTGTAACCCGCATACCAAACTTGACAACTACAGCAAATATCCAACTTAAATGGCAATATATGGGGAGAATCCAATTAATAAACTGTAGCTGAAATTTATTACTCATATAGAGGCGGCGAAATTAATAAAAACTGCGGTTGCCAACCCGCTTGCTAAACGTGAATACTACTGCAAATATCCGGTCTATTTGACAAACAATGGAGTTAGCTTATATATGATCAGCAGTGGATATCTCTATTAAAAGTAAAGAAGTAACAGATTTCCTAGATTCATCCCTACGGGGCACACACGGCAGCGAGTTTTAGGAAAAAAGGAGTTAATTGAATTGACTCCAACGCGGGATGATCTACTTCACTTAAACTTAAAAACGAAATATTTCTTTAACTTTGCAGATATGCTGGTTTCCTCGCGATGTTTTCTTTCACCTTCAAGAACGTGGTAAATCGAAACTTAAAATTGAAATTAAAATATGAGTGGAGTCTTCGCAGATCGAATTTGGGTTGCTTACGTACTACGAAATTTACGTTTGGATTTGGATTACCGACTTTAACAGATGGCTTTCACGGTTTTATCACTGAAGTTCTACTCAAGGTTGAAATAAAAAGAAACCTGTGTTTAAAATTTATTTTCTTCGATATTTTATAGATCTTATTCGCAAAAACCTGTTCATTTACTCATATGAGCTATGAACCCTGTACTGTTCACAAATACTTTAATAGGTATGTCTGAAAATATGAAAGCCATCTTAGTGTATGACAAACTGTTTTAAAAGTTCCATTAAACGTATTAAATGCTGCGTCAACGGTATTACAAACTATTCCATCAATTATTGATAAAATCTCACAGTACACTTAATTTTCTACTACTTATATCGGACTCGACACAAAAAGAAGTTGGCGAAATATTTCCTATGCCGATAGACACACAACATATTTAACTAAAGACCTCCTTTTTAAAACACAGTTTTGTGTTGTGTATGAAAACTGTGTTTTGACACAGTTTTATTAGTAATTTTGCTAAAATTAATAATTATGATAAATCCGATCTGTATATTTTAAGTTTTCGAGGCTGCAACAATAAGTATTCAATAAATTTGTGTTTCAAAAATTTGATCTGTTACTGATTATTAATTTATTTAGCAGTAAGTAGATGGCGCTATTATTAGATTAAAACTATGAAAACCAAAACTGTACCATCTAGCACTCAGCTGCAACAAATTGAGGTGCAACTGGCATGGCTCAACCGCCCATTAAAGCCGCAATCATTTATATAATGCATAAATTGGGCACAAAGTGATGTAGAATCTATTAAAAGTTCTGCTTCTGTCAACAGTAGGTACACTTTCATTACACACCGCTACTGTAATGAAATTATTTTACGATATAACAATAATATCTAGAAATAGCAATGTCGAGTTTAGTTTTTAATATCGCCAAACGATCTCTATTCATTGATTTAGTCAAGCAATATCACGATATAAACACGCAAAACTGTCAAATTTTATAAATCGATTTCAAGCAATGATCGACTAATTCATGATATTATAAATTCTAAATCTAGTAGTAGACGAGGTAAAGTTTTTTTGTTACACAATGTCAGTTGATTGAGAAATTAGTTTTAAATAATAGTATATTAGTTTCTAGAGTATTATATTAATACACAAAACAATACCTCTGTGGTTTGATCTTTAATTTTTTGCAGTTTTTAACTATTTTTAAATTTTTCTACTTTTAGTTATTTTTATAGTTCGGTTTAATAATTTCTAATATAATTCATAAAAATATAACTAATAATACAAAAAGAACCATTAACCTTTACATTTTCCTAAGAAATTATCTTCCCCGCCATGAAATCTCATAGTAAAGTACTCGTAGCGCTGCTCTGTTGTGGCATCATTCCAGTTTTTGTTATTTTATTAAAAGGTAAAAAAACTAATACATACTAAAAACTTTTTATAGAATATAAAATAAACTTAGAAACATCCTTCATTTAATGATTTTCGATAGATGTCACTATTATCTATTTAAGTAGTTTCTTCTAAAATGAAATAACGAAAGAACTAAAAATTAAATTTAGAATTTTCAAATCAATTATGATTTTAATTATTTAAACACATGAATGTAAGTTACTTATATTTTATTCAATCTATTATAAACTGGTAGGAAAATGTCGCTTTTTGTATTTTACTTTTTAAGGCAACGTATTGAAAAAGTGAAGTGTAACGTAGATTGTTGGCGTAGTTCAATTTATTACGCAACAGCTGAAACTAATTTGAGGCTTTATTTATAAATATTTTATTTATTTTAGAAAAATACATCAATCATATAAAATAGAAATTAACATCTCTAGGAAGAAAAAAATAAAAACCTCCTTTTTCGAAGTTTCTTATTTGTATCTCAGTCTCTAACTACCTACGCACAAAATTTCATGTTCTGTTCAGTCGTTTTTGCGTGAATCGTGAATACATAGACAGACAGACAAAAATTCTAAAAACCACTTATTTAGCTTCAGTGCCCTTTATTTAGTCACCTGGACTTGTTTTTCCAGAAAATATAAGAATTACAGACACGACTTTTCTACAGATTTATTATATGTATAGTTAATGGTTTTAAATCGACGGTGGGCCTGTTAATAATTTAAATTAATGTGGTCGTTGCATGCATATCGCATGTTCGCAATGCGACAACAAAAGTAATAATAATACATTATGATTGCAATCGATAAATTAAAGTATAAGTATTATAACCGTTTTTCAAATTTCTTTAAATTTTAGCGTTCCAACCTCAATTGTTTCACCGAAAAGGTATTTTCGCAAATTAATCTAAAATAGTCTGTGTGTCCACAACAATGCACGGTGAATTTAATTAAACCCAGCTCACCATATTCGATTATTTTAATAATGGTGCCTCTTTTTATAATGTTAAATTTCAAAAATAATAGTTACTTGCAGTAAATTCTGTATAAAATATGATTTAAGTCTAAATATAACAAAAGTTAACTTAAAATGTAATGAATTTAATTTGTCTTTACCCGAGTCAAATAAAAAACATTACATTTTTAGTTATTTGTAATTCATAATTTCAAAACAGTTTTAGTTAAATGTAATCTTATATTTCGTCGTTCGGTCTTATTGAGACCGAAAAAAGTAGAAAGGTTGCTTGAAGCCCAATGTGAACCTATTTTAAGTTCAACAAATTGTTTTATTGTAGTTAAATTGTATCTTCCACTCCAATATCTGTTCCTGTTCTGGGTCTAGTCAGTTTCATAGTTTAGCCGCCTTTTCATAAAGGTAGCTTGAAAAGCAAGGTACTTACAGGTCCCAGGGTTACAAAAGATTTTTTTCTCGAACTCTTTCAGAGCCCTACGATGCCTTGTAATAAGAATTTGCTTGTAACTGGTGTAAGGTTGCAAAGATAATACGGCCAAACCTAGTGCATTGTGTTGTTGACTCCATTAAACCACATAAAACAAGTGGGAAGGAAGGAATGTTTCCCAGCCTACTACAAAGGGGTAGAGATATCCTTCTTCCTTATCTGGTGAAAATCTTCAGAGAAATTTTTGCATGGGGATATATTCCAGAACGACGTTAAACATTGAATAAAAATACTACTTCAACTTATTTTTATATTCCCGACATTTCGGGTGCTTTACAGCGCCCATGGTCATGGGGGGACTGAGATGTAACATCTCGCTCGCAGTGTTCGCGTACATTTAAGAAATCATTTTTTTATAGGATAACGGTGACAAACGGGCTCACAGTCCATCTGATGGCAAGTGGATGCTGCGGCCCATAGACATCTACATCTATCCTCGATTAAGAATCAAAACGCAGATGCGTTGTCACCCCTGAGGACTAAGACGGAATGCCTCGTAACCAGTAAAAAAGGGTCTCCGGATCTCTACACTCACCATACGAACACAGCAGTATTAAGCTGCTATTTTACGCTGGTATTCTGTGAGAGCGTGATACTTCCCCCGGTCGAGCCGACCCATTCCGTGCTACAACTATAATATAGCTGCAGCGTGGCTCTACCACGTATAAAAAAATGAAACATTAAACGACGTTAAAATTAGTTCTATTCATACCTAAGACTGGTAGAAATGACTTACCAAACTTCTTTAGACCTACAAGCCTATCTTCCTTTTTTCTCAAGACATTGAAAAAGGATATAGATAGATATATTTGGGATGTAGCTCTAGTTATGAGACCAATACATTACAAACAGCATGCTTACTGCAGAGGAAAATCTACGGAAACAGCCCTGATCAGTGTTATTGACTGGGTCGAAAAAGCGCTGGAGGATAAAAAAATAGCTCTTTGTGCCTTTCTAGATATTGTGCGCACCTTCGACAGTATCCTGACATTACTGCTGGTTGGGGGCCTGATACTAAGTGAACTCGAAGCTACTTGAAGACTTCGTGAACCTTCTAAAAGCCCTAAAGTGTAACAACAGGGTCGTTTTGAGGTGAGTTCCGGGTCATGCGAATATTATAGGCAATGTAATTAACGACAAGCTCCTACAAGAGGACACAAATAGCACACAATTTGGACCCGAGCCATTTTGTGGAATCTCAAGAAGCCTAACCCCATAGACCCTTGAATCTCTTTATCATACGAGTAATAAATCACTTAAGATATGGTCTGATACGTCGGGCTTAAAACAATCTAAAACCTTAATCCAAGAATATGACAGTAAATTGACTTCAGAGAAGCCCTGGAATTAAGTTAGAATAAACTGCGTATCCTGGCAAGAGCATTGACTGAACACTGTTGTCTAAAAAGCCTAATGTCCACTCTGGGAATAAACTTCGGTTCCTTACCGGAAGAAACACCTCTACACATACTAACTGATTGTGGGCTCCTATTGCGGAAACTTAACACGCATCTGGGAAACTAGGTTTAATGTATCGGCAGATTTATTTGAGGATCGCATACTAAGACCAGTGTTTCTGCCACAGCGAGTTAACGGACAGCGATACCTAAACTTCATTAATGAACAGTTGCTTGACATTTTAGATGACGTATCGTTGGCTAAATATCGCCGCACATAATTCCAGCATTTTGGTGTACCTCCACATGTCGTGAGGTTAGTACGTGAGCGCCTCACCGAACTAATTGATGATCGCTGGGTCGGCAGAATAGGATCACACGCTTGGGCACCTCGCTCACTAGATCTGACCCCGTTAAACTTCTTTTTGTGGGGGTATTGAAAGAAAGAGTTTTTAATCGTGAGTGTTTTTTATAGGATAAGGTGACAAACTAGCACACAGTCCACCTGATGGTAAGTGATCGCTGTGGCCCATAGATATCTACATCTATCCTCGATTACGAATCAAAATGCAGATGCGTTGTCACCCGTAAGGACTAAGATGGAATGCATTGTTTACAGTAAAAAGAGTCTCCGGTTCTCTACACTTACCATACAAAACATAGCAGCATTAAGCTACTATTTTACGCTAGTGTTCTGTGAGAGCGTGGTCCTTCCTCGGTCAAGCCGACCCATTCGTGCTACAACTATACTTCTAATATAACTGCAGCATGGCTCTACCACTTATAAAATTGTGTGATAGTGCTGACGAAATACGCCAAAGGATCGTGAATATTTTCGACAAACTACGTGCGGACTGTGTCGAAGACCGCAGGATGATGTCTCGTCTGCATGAGAAGACGCAACGCCGTGCCCAAATCTGCCTTGAAATGAATGGACAATTTGAGCCGCATTTCAAAAAGCCACGAGGATTTAGATCGGTAAGCTGTGTCATACCTAATTTTTTGAAATAACTTAGTATTGAACATATTTAAATAGGTACATAACTGAATACATCAGAATAATAAACATGCTTACACAATGGATATAAATATGACTCTATCCTTGTTGAAATTTCATTTAAGTAAATTTTTCATTTGCGGGGAAACGAACCAGGTATTTTGTTTATTTAACCTGTGAATTCGAATTAAAGTGGCTAGGTAGAGAATAGCACAAATGTGGCAAAATAGTACGTTAAGTAGGTAAGTTAGGTATTTAGACAAGTGTTGTAAATTATTAGGTATTGGTACGATTGCTAGCTGTGGGCCACGCGAATTCGGCATCTGCGCGAATATTGATCCTATTATCAGCTGATTTTACTTTAAGTTCCACTGCTGATTTTATGTTTACGTATTTTCATGATTTTTTAATAAAGTTATCGTTTCATTTAGCTATGCTAACACGGTGGAGCGTAAATAAAGCTAATAAAACGTTGTGAAAAGATTTTTTTTTCATTGTGATCGATTTTTTTTCTGACCTATCATCATAGGTATCGTTAGTAATATCGTCTATCTTCATTTCCGGGAGCGTTTCACAAATACCCGGTATAGATAGATTCAAAATTTAATTGTTAACAGATGAACTGTATAATAAGAAAATAAGATTGAGTATTACTAGCAAAAAAGACAAATTTAGTATTTCGTCCATGTTTTTTCACGTTATCATGCAAAAAAGAAAAAATTATATGTGCCTTTGGTACGAAAAGGTTCCATTCAAAATATTTTTCTATTTACTTTCGTTTTTACACCAATATTGCACGAAATGGCAATCAAAAAACATATATCACTTAAACATCGACCCATTAGCGCAGCCTGCCTGCGACTGATAGATAGTCAATTAGGCTCTACTGACATTTAAGGCTTCCTCTTGTTTTTTCTATTCCGCGATCGTCGTCGTGACGTTTCTCTAGCCTTATTGTACAGAAGTTAACAAATTATCAGCAAACAAGAAAAAAAAAAGAAAACATAAAAGACATGAACAAACTAAGAAAAAATATTTAAAATTGCAGAATCAGTTAAACAAAGGCTCCAACACTGGAGAATCTTTGTTTGTGCAGGAATTAAGCGGAAAGTTTTATAATTGACATTCAATACATTGCCGCGTATTGCAAAATTTGGGATACTACTTACGTAGTATGAAGTCGTGATGCGAGATACCGTATTTTGGTTACCTCTATCACGAAAAAAATGGTGTGTACTGATATTTTTGGGCTGAAACCGTCACGTTCTTATTACACACCATACGTTCTAATAAGAACTGTTTGTTGCAGATTCGCCACGGCATCCGTTAAGTTCGTAGCACGCTTTGTCAACAGCGCCATACGCGGAGTCAGTTTTTCTTGTCGTTGAGGAATTTCACCAACATATGTCCATCTTTTACTATTTTAAGTGGTAGAACCACGCTGCAACAATATTATGGTTGTAGCACAAATGGATTGGCTCTACCGGGGATGGACCATACTCTCACATAATACCAGCATAAAATAGCAGCTTAAATTGCTGTGTTTTGTATGGTGAGTAAAAAGAACAGGACACCCTTTTTACTGGAAATAAGGCATTCCATCGTAGTCCTCACGGTTGACAACGCATCTGTATATTAAATCATAATTCCATCTTGTTTGTTCTTTGTCTTAATTCCAACTTGCTTGTGGATTTTCGTCCCATTCTATAAAAATACCTTGTCGTGTGATGGTTCTCCAGAAGCTGGTTCTCTATCACCGACTTCTCCAAACTCGCCGGCGCCGAGAATGGCACCACAATCATCACAGCCGCAGGTTGACGAAAGATCGACTTCTCCAATACATGGAACTTCAGCTGATAGTGAATCTTCGCAGCTGACAGTGTTAGAGAAATATCTCGACGAAGTCATACTGATATTGCTTAGTGATAAATCTAAGACCGAGATCCAAAGGGATCCAGAATTTTTTATGTATCACACACCAAATCAAAGGCCTTGGACAGGTCAAGAAAACAAACAAAAACTGAAGTGCTCCTATCAGTGTAGTATATGACAGTTTGCTTGGGACACAAGATAGCGCTTTCGGTGGACATACCTGGTTGAAAACCAAATTGCGCATCATTAAATTTTAAATAACCACTTAAGTGTTGATCAAGCAAACTGTCCAGCACCTTTGCCATAACAGTAGCCAGTGAGATTGGTCTGTAGTGTCAAGTCCGATGGATCACCCGACTTGTTCTTAATAAAAGGCATAATAATGGTTCGCATAAGGTCATCAGGCAGGTAAGAGTGACTGAGACAGAGGTTATATATCAAAGATAAAACCCTTGGTAGATGGATTCCTGCGCACTACAGATGCTCTATGCTGAGGTGGTAATGACCAGACGATTTACCTCGTACCATGCCCTTAATTACGCGGTCCATATCCTTCGCCGAGAATCTAACTTTAAGTTTGTCAGCACGACGCCCATCATCACACATCGCAGCTGTAGGCCCAAGAGGCGAGTCCACGATGAAGTGAACTTGGAATGCCTTAGCAATCTCATTATGCTCACGAAAGCCGGCGACGCTCACCAGAAGGCTCAATGTTGGGTTTAATTTATTTGTAGCCTTCCAAAAGCGCTTAAAGTCCTTACTAGCACGGTGTTGTGCAATCATGTCCATTTTAATTTGTTGCTGATTATTTTGACTTAAATACCCTCCTAGACTCCACCATGTTCACGTATACTGGACTAACTCGGCTTACCGTAGAGCTGCCACTTCTGTAGACAATTCCGAGCATGCCGGTGAGCGTCCCTGACATGTTTATTCCATCCGATGACATGTTTGTTCTTTTTATTATTATTTTTACTTATACGATTACTACAAATTTTAGCACCTTCTGTGAGGACACTAATTATATTTTTGTATAATTTATCTATAGTTTGTCTATGACTTCTATCAGAACACATTTTATCTGCACAACTAGTTCCAAAGGAAAAATTACATTTCTAAGTTTAAAATGACAGTATTCCCTATATTTATCTTCTTTATTTCACAGATTAATAGAACTTTAATTAGTAACACTATTAGAATCAGTGATTTCAAAAGGAAGGATAGGCCCATCTAAATATTTCACTCATAACTTTTTCATACAAGAAAAAGTAGCGCGTCTGTCATAATACTAACGTTATATCATAACACGACTTAACCAGGGTCGGATTTCATAGTATAATTATCATCCTAATTGTACCATTATTTCATAGTTTGTAGTATGAAGTATCGTAATAATACTAAGCGAAAATACCATAATTTTCCTTTAATTAGGCCTTTTAATTTTTAATATTAACCCTACGATTTCCCCTACGTTTCTTTTGTACTCTTTTCATTTTACCTTTATTGAATATAAAATATATTAGGTACCAATATTCAAAATTTAACTTACACTAAGTTCTTTAGACAAAAAACGACGGGTTGCACTTCGGGAGTGCCGGCAGAAGTGAAAACTTGAATATTAACGTTGTGCATTTTTGATATATTGGAATGGTTAGGGAATAATTTTGCACGAATTGTTTTAATTATCACACACAAACATTCACGCAAGCGCCCTGCGCTGCCTAAACGAACCAGTAGGCGCAGGCATACATTTTCGCCGCGCCGTCGAAAGAGAGGGGGATACTTCCTCTCCTACGCCGTCCGTCTTACGCAATTTCGATCAGGTTATGTGTCCTGAGGCGAGTTTAACATTTTTTACCCATTACAAAAAAAGTGTACAACGCCGCTAAAGAAGTTTTCACTTCAAAAATGAAACGGAAATAAAAATAAAACCGGCAAAAAACAAAATAAACTAGGAGCGTGACGCCAAAATCCCGGCACATGGGAAAAAGAAACATGAAACGTCAAACGTGATATAATTTTTGAAAAATAGTATACCTAATTTTATTTTCCATGTACAATATTTTTGAAGGTCTGAATCCAACCCTGGCCTAATCTTGGTAACGTAACTAAACTAACTGTAAAATAAAACTTTAAAAATGCGTTTATATAATAATATAATATTAACAAAATTAATGTAAGGTTATTTTACCGACGATACGATATCCCATGTTCCTATTTAATCTTTCTATCGTAATATTTGCACCCTTTTTACCACGCATCTAGACATATTTATGACAGGCAAATTTGTTAATTGATAGAATCAGGCGTTACTTTGCGGAAATCCATTATAATAAAAAAATAAAAAATATAAATTTCTTTTGCAACTTTCCGCTAAACATATAAAATGATGTGTCTTACCTGGATTGAAGCGCACCTCCCGCTTTCCTCCCTCAATTGCATACACTAACTCCGTCACCACTAGACCAAGCACCACTACTCTCAACACCACTATTCCAGGCAAGACACACCATCGACGATAATACGACACGTGTTTCGCCTCTACACGAGGCATTCCTCAGGTAACTATAGATATTTTCTCTACGGCGGCTGACCGCTAAAGTCATTAGAGAAGAGTCCCTGTTGCCCCATATTACATCATTGATATTGAAGCTACCATGCAATTATGCATATAGCCTAAAGCATATAATATATTACCATAAGCATGCATATAGACTAAATTAATTTTACAAACTTAATATTTTATAAACAATTCTGCTTATAATGGTATGCTGACACATTATTAGTACTATATTGGAAAATAACTATTGCCTCAACTTTATACCTAATTTTTCTCTAAGATATTGAAATCTGACTCGAGGTAGAGCTGTTGTAAATATGTCAGTACACTGGTCACTCGTACATTTTAGTTTATTTCTTTTTCCTAAATCTTTTCTTTAACAAACTTATATTTCACATTAATATGTTTACACCGTTTATGAAAACAATCTACATTTTTAATCACTGATATTTCACTTTGACACACACACAAACAAATTGTGTCCTGATTATATGCACCAATATCGTGTAGTAGCCTTTTGATCCACAAGGCTTTTTTGTGGTAGAACATGCAGCCAAAAAACTGCCTCTGTTGTAGTTAGCATAGCTTAGCATTGCTATCATTGACTAACCCACGTGATGGATGCACATTTTTTGATAAAAACATAGCTAGTAATAGATCGCCTTGTATCACTTTCGGTGGCATAATTTGTGTCACTGTCTGCACTACCGCAGTATATTGTGCTCCATTGAAGAATAGAGTATCCCATAGTTTTTGGTTTCTCTCAAATATCCGAATATCCTTTTTACAGATGCCCGGTGAGTATTATCATAGCAGCTCATAAAACGACTTATTAAGCTGACTCCAAACATAATATCTGGTCTACTCACAGTCGCAATGTTCATGAGAGACCCTACTGCCTCTCTGTATGGTATCTTCTCTTCAGTTGTTATTTTTACCCTTTTCTATATCATATGAGGATCTACAGGAATACTGTTTCCATCGGTATCTTTCATGTTGAATTTAATAAGTAATTTTGCAATGTTCTTCTTCTGGTGAATATGCTTGTTAGACCATTATATTTGCAAACCAACAAAATTCTTTGGCTCCATGGTTTTAATAGTGTTGGTTCTGCCAATATGCAGTTAAACAAATCTTCAAGATGCAAATATACCTTGACCCCAAATCTCCAACTGGACCAGTGATCTCGACCCGTGAGTTTAGGAATTGACATTATTTTATTGTTGTTATTCATGTTATATGTTCAATAATCTGAAATAGCTCGCAAGCCGGTAACCTTGGTTATACACGTGGCCTATTTTACTTTTTAAAATGTACTCTGAGATTTTAGGTACAAATACTGATAATTTCGAATGACTTATTTCTTGCACAATACTAAACGGCAGATTGGAGCATAATTAAAACTATTTAACCTGTTGTAATTAAAACGGATTTCTTATTATTTGCAAGATTTTTATTTATTAGACTAGTTTAACATTGACGGTAGATACAAGCTTGACATATGTCATACAGTTTTGACAGTAAAGGTGAAGGCGGCTATTTTATCACAACAAAGGAAGTTCTCTAGGAAAATAAATGAAAACAACTTTTGTTTCGAGCTAATATAACTGATAAAGTATAAACTCTTAAATATATTCAACAACCAGATATGGCACGAAAAATTACCCAAAAACCAAAGCTAACTCGCTCCACTTTCAGTACCACAAAAAACAACGGCCATTTAAAATACCTAACCCAACATTTCAAGGTGGACCATAAAATGTAGCTACAAATTTACAACCCAAGGCAAGGGCAGCAGCCAACACCGCTGTCGCGGGAGGCATCACCGCATTTCACGGCACCCACCGTCACCAAATCGGACGATATCTGATCTAAAATGTGGGTTTCATGGTGAACTAGGAGAAAACCTACTTGTAACCATACACTCAATGTAATTTTTTCTGGTTACATTTTTGATTCCTAGAACATGGTAGTAAAATTATATAATTCTAAAAAAATTATAATTAAAGTGGGTATTTCCAAGTTCCTTAAACTACAAAAATGTTAACTTCGTGAATTTGCTAGACTCTTAGGACTTCTATTGTATGCATGCCCTGCGATTAAAAATTCATGGTTATTCAGTTAACAATTTGAGCAATTCAAATATCGTTGCTTACTCGGCAATTCTAGTTACGAACAAATCGCGAAGCTTTCTAATATTCTTCAGACTGACATGCTTTACTGGATAAACCATATTGATCATAGTTTATATCGGTTTAACTGTGATGAATATGATTGAGAAATATTTTTGAATGCATCAACATCATCTACAGGTTGTGGTACCTATTGAAATATGGATAACTGTTTTGGCTACTGGAAAGATCATGAGAAATCCTTGCATATTAAGGGGAAATATAACCTCAAATGGCTTAGCAATATCCTCCGTTATGCCGAAAACATTGCAGCATTAATTTTGAAATAAATATATGGTAAAGTT